ATCTAATCACCTCTACAAGGTGGGTGAATCAGGTACCTTGACTCCATTTTCAATGCCCTCTGCATGCTGGTGTGGGGTTTGGGTCCCCAAGTCCTCAGGTTGCTCCACTCCTATGGCTTTCCTGGTCTTAGACCATGTCTCAGCTCTTGCAGGCTGGCATTGCACGCTGGTAGCTCCACAATTCTGGGGTCTCCATAGTGGTCCTGCTTCCATGGCTCCACTAGGGATGGCCTTGGTGGGGTTTTTCTGCTGCAACTCAGACACCATATTTCCTCTTGGCATCACTCTAGCAAAGGCTGTTCCTTGGATTGAATGTTTCCCCCAAATTTAATCCCCACTGTGACAATGTTAAGAGGTGGAGAATCCTGTTATGGTAATTGAAAGGTGGGGCTTTGAAGAGGTGTTTAGATTGTAGGATCATGCCGTAATGAATGAATTAAAAATGGTGGTCATGGGCATGGTTTGAAGGGCTTTAAAAAGAGAGTGAATGAGGTGGTTAGTCTCTCTTTCTCTCTCTGCTCCACCATTTTCTGCCATGTGAGACCCCTGTATTGCTGTAAAGCCACCACCAAAGAACACTCATCAGATATGTTCCCTGGACTTTGGACTTTCTAGCCTCTGAAACAGTAAGCAATAAATTTAATTTCTTTTTAAATTACCCAGTTCCAAGTAGTTTGTTATAAGCAACAGAAACAGACTCATTGAGGCTGTATGCGGTATATCCACCACTGTGACAGATCTCTTTCTGGGCCCCCAGGCTTTTCCATACGTTCATTGAAATCAGGTGGAGGCTTCCAAGCCTTCACAGCTCTGGCATTCTGCAAGCCTGTAAACTTACCACATGGATGCTGACAAGGCTTCTGGCTTGTATCTTCCAAAGCTGTGGGTACAGCCAAGTCTGGGGTGAATTTAGCCACAGTTGGAGCAGCCAAAGCAGCTGGGGCACTGGTGTGGGGAGCAGCATCCCAAGGTGGCCCTGGGCAGTAAGCCTGTGGAGGGCACCTCAGGCCTGTTCCCTGAGACTATTCTGTCTCCCTGCGCCTCTGGGTCTGTAATGGGAGGGTTGACTCCAGAGGCTTCTGCAATGCCTTTCAGGGCCTTTTCCTCCTTCTCCTGATAATCCCTTTCTTTTGTACTAATCTTAACACCACTGCGTTTTTCTTCTGTAAATGCTCCCTGCTTCTCTACCGCATGGCCAGGCTGCAAATTTCTAAATCTTTATGCTCTGCTTCCCTTTTAATGATCCATTCTGGCTTTATGTCATGGCTTCGCCTCCATAACTCAGTGTAGGCTGTTACAAGCAGCCATGCAGATTTCTTAATGCTTTGCTCCTTTGCTTTTTTTTTTTTTTTTTTTTTAAAAGATGACCGGTAAGGGGATCTTAACCCTTGACTTGGTGTTGTCAGCACCACGCTCAGCCAGTGAGCAAACCGGCCATCCCTATGTGGGATCCGAACCCGGGGCCTTGGTGTTATCAGCACCGCACTCTCCTGAG